AACGGCACTTGTACAGTAAGCCACTTTTATGGAATGTCTTTTTTACTTATCACAATTATGATGAATTATCATTATCTCAAATGTGGGTATTCTTGGAAACTAAAGAAGCTAAACTGTCAAGTAAAAACGAGTAGCATGTTGTCAAAAAAATTCAAACTCAAGGTAAACTAGAATTTTGGAAAACTTGTACCACACTCACAGTAAGCTTAACACTGTCCCAATACTTAGAATTCTCTGAGATTGGTGGTGATATTAGCAAAAGCAACTTGCATACTACAAGTAACTTTATGAAAGGATCACTTATGGAGCTTTGGTAATTATCAAATAATACCCCCAAGTAACCTGAAAATGCTATTAAAATATTCCTCCCTTTTCCAAGCCAAGGGTGGATTTTCAACATATATTTCATTAAAATAGTACATTATAACAGAATGAACTCAAAAGCAGATGTGAGAATCCCGCTGCTTTTAAAACCAGACATTAAAAGACACTTGCAAAAATGTAAAATACTCTTTTATCAAAATACCAGTTGCTTTTTGGGCAGAAATTGACAATCCAATCCTAAAACTCCTATGGAAATGCAAGGGACTCAGAAGTATGCATATTCTTCTCAGAAGAAGAAGAATAAAATTAGAGGACTCACTATTTCAAAACTGACTACAAAATTACAGTAATCAAGGTGGTATTGGCATAAGGAGAGACATATAGATTAATGGAATGGGAAAGTCCTGAAACAAATATTTAAAATTATGATCACTCAATTTTCAACCATGGAGGGAATCCAATGAAGAGTGTCTTTTAACAAAGGAGGCAGAGACAACTTGATTTCTTCATGTATAACAAAGAAGTTGCACCCCTCCCTCCTATCACATACAAATATTAACTACATAGACCCCATGAGCTAAAAGTGTAAAATGTCTAGAAGAAAACACAGTAGTAATCTACACGACCTTGGATTAGGCAATGGTTTCCTGATACCAAAAGCACAAGTGACAAAAATAAAAAAAGAAAGAAAGAAAGATATATTGGCTTTTAAAATTAAAAAATTTTGCTTCAGAGGTCACCACCAAAAGAAAAGATGGGAGAAATTATTTACAAACAATAATGAATAAATGGTATCACTTCACACCCACTAGGATGGCTGAAACCAAAAAGACAAGACAACAATAAGTGCTGGTAAAGATGCCATGAAATTTACTCTCTTACACTGGGAATACAAAATGGTAGAGCTGCTCTGGAAAACAGTTTGACAGTTCCACTCCTAGGAATATACCCAAGAGAAATAAAAACATACATATACACAAAAGCTTGTACAGGAATGATCAAGAACGGTTATTTATAATAGCAAAAAGGATGAAACAATCCACATACCCACTTGACAAAAGCATAGAAAAAAATGTGGTATACTCATATAATGGAGTATCATTCAGCAATTAATAGTAACAATTAATAGTAACAAAGTATTGACACAGGACACAAACATGGATGAAACTCAAAAACTTTATACTACGCGAAAGATGCCAGTCACAAAAGACCACATACAATGATCGTATTTATATGACATGCCCAGAATAAATTAATTCATAGAAACAGAAAGAAGATTAGTGGTTGCCAGGGCCTGTGGGGTAGGGAGGATGGGCAGTGAGCTACTGAGTACAGTATTTCTTTTTGGGGTGATGAAGTAAGTGTAACACATGGACACCAAGACAGCACTTGGCATTGGAAAGTAAAAATTACAAATTTGAGTTCTGATTACCCTCTTGTACAGAACAATGAATGAGACTGAATAACAGTAATTTCAAGCTTTAGTACAAAGTGGCCACTACAGGACTACTCCTACTTACAATGATACATCATCAGAATGCTATTAAGTACCTGAATATACAATTTCATGTACTGGTAGATATTACACAGGCCAAATAATGTTTTTACCTTTTAATTTTTCAATAAAATGTGTCAAAAAAAGACACAGTGATGTAAAAACAGATTAAGTCAGAATACAATTTGATTGTATTCCACTGGGAACAACAAAATATTCAATGACATCTGATGCTATGAAGTATCCAAATATTACCTAAGATATTTTGAAGTAATAATTTGAGTACTATTGCTGAACTACCTATTACCAAAGCACAAGGCTGTATTTTCTGTTAAGAGCTTTCACATGGCTCTGATCCCATCCCTTCTGTTAACCACACATGAGAGACTTACATACATAAGACAAACATCTTTTGATTATGGTTTAATGGCAAACTAGATTACCAGAGCTCAGTGTTAAGATCTGAGCAAATGAGGTACTAAAGATAAGTTTACTGGACCCACTATAACTTTAATTTCTCCTATCACAAGGCACTCTGTTGTATTAGAAACAATGAAATGCAAGGGAGCTGGTATATTTTGCAATCACCAAGACAATTAATACAAAGCACTCCCTGAAAGCCAGACTGAGTTTAGGTGACGTGTCCTTAAAAGCTTTAACGCTGCAAATAACAGGAAAAGTACTTGGGATGGAGGAGAAAGGTTTGTATAAATTACCTGAGAATTATTTTTTCCCTCTTGGCAGTTCTCTCAATATTAAAAAAATATATATAAAGTTTGAAAGCAATCATAAATAACATTTTGTAGGTTTATGGCAAACCTTAAAAGGCAAACTTTTAAAATAAAGTCTGTGACATGACAAAGTTCCCATGACAAGTATTCTACTAGTCAAATTAACATATTTTAGATGTGAAACCTTTTGCTTGCTTCAATAGGACAAAACAACTTAACATCACAAAATAGCACAAACTGGAAACACATGTACTCAAATTTCTCTAGTAGGACGGCATTTACAAGCAAACATGTCAGTAAGCCTTCAGTCTGAATCTGAATGATTTGCAGCAAAGTGGCTAGTACCCAGAATCTTGGTGCCAACAAACTAACCTCTGTCCCCTATACAAGATCCCACAAACTACAGTATCCTGGCTCTATTTATAATAATAAATACTAATGGCGTGCAACTTCAAAATTAAATGCAAGATTGGGAGCAACTTAATCACACCAAAATCTTTCAGAATCTGTAGTTACTCTGCATTCCACCAGAGACTGAGTTAGCACCGTCTTTAACAAACAGCAGTTTAAACATCTGGGAAAGGAAGGCTAAAGGGTGGGCTGTCATATCTCTCACTCCAGGAGGACACTGGTTAGAGAATAAAACAGAATGGACTTCAACTGGACATAAGGAATTTCTTTAGTAAAACAGTGACTTGCTCAGTAAAGACTAGAACCAACATTACAAAATTTTAAAGGGGTAAGGAAATGAGATCTTTAGGTCATTCTCCTAGGATGAAATCAGGTACTCTGACCGTAATTTAATTATTCAGGGACTATTCTTCAATTACTTGGCACTAGGTGCTTGATAAGCTAGGGCTCACTGAAGAGCCAGGATATGCCATGGTCCACTCTCACAAATGCAGAGAAGGAAATAAAACAGAGGGAAGCAAAAGCATGGTGATTCAGGTTGCCAATAAAAGGCTGGATCCCGGTTCCATATTGCATCTAGAAAGTGGACAGTTAGTGACTTTAACAGGCTCAAGTTGGTGCATGGTTACTTTACACTGCAACTGTTAATACTGTCACCTATCTAACCCCTCTGATTCAGCACCACATCACACAGGAGCTACCCCTATCACTCTTGGCAACCCTTAACTCTACAGAAGTCTCTCTCAGCCCTTGATCTTTTCTTCACGACTTCCTCCCAGGACTTAACAGAGAGAGATGGTAAAAGGATGAGTAAGCATACTGTAGCTGACTTGGTCAAAGAGCACAGACCCTGGCACAGAAGCAGAACAGCAAGCGCCACCGGCGTGCATCCAATGAGCGGCAGTTGCAAGCTTTCCCAGGCGGTCACTGCTGCTCCTTCCGCAATCGCTGGAGACTCCAAACCCTCGCTTTCACCTCATTCCCCTACACTGTGATCAAATGCACATTTTCTTCACAGTTACTTAAAAACACCACGAAAAGATGAACTAATTTCTCCAGGCTTCCAGTTGTCAAAAGGCAATAAAGCCTCACAGTGAAGTATCGTTAAGTTCAACCATTCTGCTTTCTCAAAGACTTAGAAAAATACCGGTTTTCTGACACCCTGTCCCCCTCCCACCCTACCCCAATTCAGCAATAAGGCCAGCAACAATTTCAAATGTATGTCAACCTTTTGGGAGGAAAAAAAAAGAAAACAAAAAGACACTTGAATTACTTCAATAGCCTGGTTCCAAGTACCTGACCTTATTTTTTCCCGAAGAAAATAGGACACCAAGAGATCAGAAACGTCTTTTTCTCTCTCTTCCTATTTTGGCCACCAGCAGTATCCAGAAGGTCTCCAAAGGTCTCCTTGGGGGGGGGGGGGCTTTCCTAGGTTTCTTAGACAGGGAACTTGCCCTGAGTAGCTAAACGTCCTTTAAGTCCCTAGTAGTTTTCTTTACAAGGTTGAACTTCACCACAGATGGAAAGAACCCAAGGTGCTATTTCCTTTGTTAACCCCCCACGGACCTTATTCAATTGGGGGGCGGGGTAAGGGAAGACTGCTGGCCGTGACCACAGACCTTGCCGCGAAAGATCTGAGAGGGACAGGTGTGATTCCTCCCTGCGGGAGTGCCTCGCAGAGCGGCAGGTGCTTCCCACCACCGCCTTCCTTGCCCCAGACACACCTGGGACTCCTCGGCACTCGGTGGCCCCCGCGCCCCCCGCACCAGGCGTCTTCCGCGCCCACAGTCTCCCTCACGGCCACCCACCGCCGCCACCTGTCTGTCCCGGCCCAGGGCGGGGACCCAGCTCTGCCACCACCCCGACCGCCACCACCTCTGTTCAAAATGGTGGTTACGAAACGTGCGGCCCCCGCCCGCCCAGCCTCCCGCCACATGGCCGCGCCGGCTCCAAACTTCCCAGGCCTGGCCGCCACCCGGAGCCCAGGCGAGGCCCTGGCCCGTGGGCACTAGGAGGCCGCGCGGCTGCTGGCCACTCACCCACAGACCGGTAGCCCAGGATCGCGATCTTCCGGGACTTGGACTGCGGCATCTTGGCGGCCTCCTCAGCCCCGGCTCAACCACATCAACCGCGGCGGCGGCGGCGGCTCCTGCTGTTGCGATCCGCGGCAGCCGCGCCTGGGGAGAGCGGCATACAGAGAGGGGCGGCGGCGGGCGCGGCTGCCTCTCGCTCGCTCGCGCGCTCTCAACCGCCCGGAACCGACCGCGCGACGGCGCCCTTCCCCCCACAACACGCCCACGTGACCGCCCCGCAGCCGCTGGCCCCCCTCGGCCCACGTCAGTGCCGCCCCTCCCACCCTCACGGCCCGCCGCCTCCGACCCCCAAAGTGTGCTGGGGGATGCGTTAGGGAGACGTTTTACTTTAAAGGGAAAAAAGGGGACGCCAAGATGCCCCTGAAAAAGTCACGACTGAAACTCGCTGCGTCATGACCCTCCCACCTTCTTCCGCCGCTTTTTAATTACGCCACTTCTCTCCGCACACTGATTGGACAGCTCCCGCCCATTCGTGCGGTGACGCGACGGAAACTCCGTTTCCCATTGGATTCACGAAAAGGCGGGGTTGAGGGGGGCAAGCTGTTAGCGCGGGAGCTAAAAATATACACCCGGCCGCTATCAAGCGGTTGGGCGCTGGGGACGTTTGAAGACTTTTAACTTCCAATGGGTGGGGGGCGGGCGGGAGAGGCGGAGCGAGAGAAGATGCTTTCCCAGTGATTGGTCAGAGTGGGGCTCTGGGCGGGGCAAGTAGGCTCGGTGGTTGGCGGGACGCGGAGCAGTTGGCGGGCTAGCGCTCGCAGAGCCCCTAAAAGGTGCAGGGCGTGTGGCCGTGGCAACCTGGAGGTGGTTTTGCTGGCCTCGCCTGTGTAGGATTTCTCGTTACCCTTTTGCTGTGTTAGTGTTAGTAAGTTTGGATTTGAGGATTTAGATGGTGACTAGACGTCATCTCCGGCTGAAGAATGGAATCTGGGTTAAAGCAGAATGTTAGGAATTTCATTAAGAACTGTGCAAGCCTCGTCGGTTCTGGTGTCAGTGCGTGACGTGCGGGCTCAGCGCGCCCCACAGGAAACAGAGCCCGTAAGAGCCCGCATGTCTTTTGAACACATGCGATTGAATCAGTAGGCAGGCAGCATGGAGCACCCGTCCCCAGGGTTGGGCACCCCAGACGGGAGGCCACCCCCAGTCTGGGATTAATTTTCCCAGAGGTGCCAGATGAGGAATCGAACGTCGGAGTGCAGGAAGGGAAGCCTCCTGGGAGGCCTTGTCGTGGAGGAAAGGTTGGAAGTTAAGCCTGAGAAAGTGCAGATGCTACTGAGAGACTAAGCAGCAAGGGACACTTGTCCATCATGGTAGAAATTCTTTTCTTTTAAGTATTAAATGACTCACAGATTTTTATTTTTTTGCAGTTTTTAGCCGGGGCTGGGTTTGAATCCGCCACCCTGCTAACTAAGCAGAAACCCTACTACTATGAATCTGCCCCTGTTATTCCTGTGCTGGTTGGCAATTTGCACCTGCGGAGGCCTGAGTGGGACCCCACTTGCTAATCAGGGTCCTTTGCCTTTTTCCAGTGAGCATTAGAGGAGAATGACCCCTGGGAAGCTGAGGCAGGCCTGGGCTTCCTGGGTATGAAGATTTAGAAGTGATGTTCTGTAGATATGCCTTGCTAAATGGGGACTCTGAGCCAAGGGCAGACTCCCTTTCCTAGGACAAGGGGGATGTGTGTTTGTATCCTCAGGGGTCTACAGATTGAATAGAAGTTCTATGTTTTATTTTAAGGAAATTTTGCATTCTACTCTATAATTTAATTTTTTTTTTTTTTGAGATAGTCTCACTTTGTTGCCCTTGGTAGAGTGCCGTTGAGTCACAGCTCACAGCAACCTCCAACTCTTGGGCTTAGAGGATTCTCTTGCCTCAGCCTCCCGAGTAGCTGGGACTAAAGGCTCCCATTGTAACACTGGGCTATTTTTTGTTGTAATTCTCGTTGCTGTTTTAGCTGGCCAGGGCCGGGTTTAAACCCGCCACTCTCGGTATATGGGGCTGGTGCCCTACCTGCATTCTTCAGAAAAATGTATCATGTTAATCTTGTGGATTTTAATACCACCTACATGTTGTGTACTGGGATCTGCTGTGAAATATATTTATTTTATTTTATTTATTTTTTTTGAGACAGTGTCTCACTTTGTCACCCTGGGGAAGAGTGCCATGGTGTCATAGCTCACAGCAGCCTTAAACTCTTAGGCTCAAGGGATCCTCTTGCTTCAGCCTCCCAAGTACTGGTTTATACAGGTGCCTGCCACAACGTGTGGCTAGGTTTTCTATTTTTAGTAGAGACAGGGTTTTGCTCTTGCTCAGGCTGGTCTAGAGCTCTTGAGCTGAAGCAATCCATCTGCCTCAGCCTTCCAGAGGTAAAATATCTTTCTTACTGTGGGTTGCCTCAAAAAGTTTGAAAGCACTGCCCTAGCTGAGAATGGTAGTAATCTAGATTGAGAAGCACAGTTGTTAAGGACAAACTCATTCAAAAAAATTTCCAGTTGTTATCTTAAGTTACCTTAAAGCCTTTTGCAGGTCAGACCCAAGAGCTGAAAAGATTCCTTTATTTATGAGTGGGGATGATTTGTTTGATTTAAGAAATGACTGAGGCTCGGCGCCTATAGCTCAACCGGCTAAGGCGCCAGCCACGTACACCTAAGGTGGCAGGTTCAAATCCCCAGCCCGGACCTGCCAAACAACAATGACAGCTGCAACCAAAAAATAGCCGGGCGTTGTGGCGGGCGCCTGTGGTCCCAGCTACTTGGGAGGCAGAGGCAGGAGACTCGCTTGAGCCCAGGAGTTGGAGGTTGCTGTGAGCTGTAATGCCATAGCACTCTACCCAGGGGGACAGCTTGAGGCTCTGTCTCAAAAAAAAAAAAAAAAAAAAAAAAGAAATGACTGAGATTATCTAAAATACTAGGAACTATTTTTATGAATTTACATACAAATACCTGACTGCAATGAAACAGGGACAGTATTCTGGTTGAAGGAAATGAACTTGCTTTTGTATCCACAGTAGCTCTTGTGATTGGAATAAATGTTTACTAACCTTACCTTTTAGCAGCTGCCATGAGGCAGCTTGTCCTCCGAAGGTTGTTTGTTTAATTCCCAGAAAAATACAAAACTTTTTTTTCTACTGTTAGAGTAACAGTAAAAACCACTGCAAGGCTTGTTTTTATCTAAAAGACATTTGTGAAATTATTTTACATGGGAAAGGGTGACCCCAGTGAAAGTAGATGTTAAGGAGTGGTGGTTGTGTTTGTTTTTTACATATTTGATGAGGGAAGACTGGAGAAGAACCAGATTCATGTTAATCTTAGCATAAGCCAAATCAGACTGCTGTGTATCTCACATAAGTGTATTATTCAGAATCAAACAATGCAGATTTGGGGCAACATGCTGAATGTTCTAGTATGTGGTCATCTAGTTGGGAGTCAAGAGCGCAGATCTTCTGAGGGGATCAGTCTGGTCTGAACTCTGAGCTAGAAGAGGGAAGGTGGAGTGAGGAGCTTTAACCCATGAAGGGGGCTGTGTGTGAGAGAGTCGTCTCAGCTAGGAACTCTGAGGACAGGAGTAGGGCCATTTGGTAGCTTAAATTGTTCTTAATTCCTGTGGGTTGAATTGTGTCTCCACCACCTCCAAAAGCATACATTGAAGTCCTACACCTCTTAGAATGTGACCTCATTTGAAAATAGAGCTATTACAGATGTGATTGGTTAAGATGAGACCACACTGGAGTAGGGTGGGCCCTAATCCAGTATGACTGGTGTCCTTATGAGAAGGAAAGAGACTCAGATATAAAAGATGGTTATTGTGAAGACCAACACAGAGACTGGGTTGAAGCTGCCCTAAGCAAGGGAATTCCTAGTGGTACCCAGGGCTAGAAGAGGTGAGGAAGAATTCTTTCCTAGAGCCTTAAGAGGAAGCATGGCCTACCAAAACTTTGACTGTAGACTTCTGGCCTCTAAGAGAGAGAATAAATGTCTTGTTTTAAGTCACTAGGTTTGTGATGCTTTGTTACATCAGCTGTAGGAAGCTGATACATCAACTATCCTCATGAATAAATGAAGATAAATACATAAATGAATAAAATTTCATTAAAAATTTGAATCTGAGCTGGGCCTGGTGGCTCACACTTGTAATCCTAGCCCTGTGTGAGGTTGAGGTGGGTGGATTGTTTGAGATCAGGAGTTTGATACCAGCCTGTGTAAGAGCAAGACCCCATCTCCACTGAAAGTAGAAAGAATTAGGCTACTTGGGAGGTTTAGGCAGGAGGATCAATTGAGCCCAGGAGTTAGAGATTGCTTTAAGCCAGGCTGAAGTCAGGCCACTCTTGCCTGGGGCAATAGAAGAAGACTCAGTCTTAAAAAAAAAAAAGTTGGAATCTGGCTTTTACTGGGCTGTGAATGAAGTTGGCCTCTTCCCACGCCTGAGCCAGAATGTTCCCAGTACAAGTTTCACCAGCAGAAGGCTGCTGTGCTCAGCAGAGCAATCCTCCTGAGGTTCGGGTTCTGTGGCCAGGCAAGATGGCTAGAGCAGGATATATGGGATCTATACCTAAGAACTTGTACAAAGATACCTAGAGGGTGCTCAGAGTAGGAGGCTTTCCTTGTAATAAAGTAGGTGAGGGCTTGTGCCAGTACAGTTTGGATTACATATGTTCCTCAAATATGTCTTAGATGTGGAATTCAGTCACAGTGTTCATAGGCCTCTGAGAGATATAATTAACATTTGAGGGACATGTATATTCTCTTAGGTGAAATATTTGTCTCAGTGTTGGATTTTATCCAGCAGGTTTGGTTCCAAGAAATTCCACAGGTGTGCAAGAGAAATTAGAACTTTTTTTTGAGACAGAGTCTCACTATGTCACCCTAGTGCCATAGTGTCACAGCTCATAGCAACCTCAAACTCTTGGGCTTAAGTGATTCTCTTGCCTCAGCCTCACAAGTAGCTGGGATTACAGGCGCCTACCACAATGCCTGGTATTTTTTTGTTGTAGTTGTCATTATTGTTTAGCTGACCCGGGCTGGGTTCTAACCCACCAGCCTTGGTGTATGTGGCTGACGCTGTAACCACTGTGCTATGGGTGCCAAGCCTAGAACTATCATTTTTTTAATTAAAAAATTATAACTACGTTTTCAGTGTAATTACACCTTTGCCATACTTACTAATGATATAGCAAGTATTCCTTACAAATAGCAAGATGTCAAAAACTAAGCATCTAAAACATAAAGACCTTACAGATTTTTCTGCCACTTTTTTGGGGGGAAATTTTAAACGTATATCAATTAGTACAGTAAGCCCCAGATGCATCACCTTCAGTATTTTTGAGTCACCGGCAATCCTGTCTCATCTTCATCTATACCTTACCTGCTTCTCTACCCATCCGTGGATTGTCTTGAAGCAAATTCTAAACATTATATATTTTGTTCATAAATGT